TGACTTCAAAAGATACTGTCTGTGTTTCTTCCTCCTCCTCCTCATCCTTGTCCATCTGTTCATAGAATTCAAATAAATCAGCTGGGACATCTGGCTTATTCTGAACATCTGTTCCTTGTGATGTTGATGGACCCAAGCCTCCTTCACTAGATTTGGAAATCTGAAATAGATTCGCAGGAATCTTTAGCCAAGTCTTCATTAGAGACCTCCCTTCCTTAACTAAAATAGGGCTCATGAATGATGGACAGAGCATTGCTGACAGAACAGAATGCAACTGCTGACATGACAAACATACAATAACCATTCTAAAAGCTTCTCTAATGTTAATTCAATCATTGTAAAACATGCCAAAGCATACCGCTGATTTACTCGTAAATGTCTCTGTAATGAGCTCTGTCTCTTCACCCTCAGCATTTCTCAGGCGACAGTCTCTAATAACATGGTCCTGCAGAAGCTGCTGAATGACATCAGGATGGGTACTTTCCACAAAATACCTAAATGAAAAGAACAAAGGAAAACATATAATCAGCTGAATAACTCACGGGAAGAATAGTGCGGATGCTTCAATTTACAGCTCTCCCAGATGCACTTTCGAGTCACCCCCCCCCCATCTTGGGGGTTGTAATTTAAAAATAAAGAAATCACAGCAATCAGAATTTTAAAAGGTGCTTCAAACCAAAAGGAGCATGTATTGTTATCAACCTTGCCCAAATTAGCTGCCATAGATATAACATGAATAGGAAAACTCCGAAAGAACTGCCTAGACAGAGCTGAATAGTCCTCTAACATTATAGTCTCATTTGTCATAGGAGACAATTTTTTTTGAGACTGAACTGAGGTGAGTCTGTGAAAATTCTGGAGGTGGTGTCCTAGCCACAAGACCAAAAAAAAAAGAGACAAGAGTCAAAACACAAACCCTCCAAAAATTTAACCTTGAGCATCCTGAATTTTTTTTTCCCTTGAGAGTCATCAATAACGACGGTCATTGGAGAGCACAGTTAAAATGTGAACCAAGAGAGACTTAAATCTGAACAGGCAAAGGGGAAATGTTTTTCTTGGAGACATCTAATAAGACAATAAAAGCCTGCTAATAATCCTAGCATTAGTTTTAGAATCAAAAAAGAAGCAGCAGCACACTAGATTAGAGTCCTAGGGCTCAACTGCGGCTGTAAGACAGAAAAGAACTTTATGAAGAAAAGAAAGGGAGACAGGGATAACACAGGAAAGTGTTAGGAGAAGTTTGAGTTTTCTGCTTTCTCCTTCCCTCTCCTCTCGCTACCTCAAAATCATAGGTTTACATAAAATCGGTTAGCTCTAAACCAGTGGATCTCTCAAGATTCCTTCCAACTTTATCTTCCATACATAGAACACATCAGATTCAATCCAGTAAGCAGATTTCACACAAACACACGCCTCTTGTCAGGCCACTTGCTTGTCCTTCCTGAATAACAGATTACAAATAAAAACACATGAGACTGAAGGACAGCTGTAGAAAAGCTTTCTAACCTAGATTCTTATAAATTGGGAGTGAATGAATGAAACAATTATCTGAAAACCTTAATGAGATATTGCAAGTCCAAGCAATAAAGAAACAAGCTAGAACATCAAATTAGTATCCTGTTGCAGTAACGTAATGATCAGCACCAGGAGCTCAGGAGAGTCAAACTGAATGCATTGACTAATGCATTAAATGCTTTGAAACAACTGAGAATATGATCTTGTGGTAATGTATGTCGCAATCAACTGGGAGCTGTAACGCAGTTTTCAACTCAACAGCTACTGAGACCACAGTCAGAGTTGTTTATGTACAGCGGTGCGCTTGTTTCGAAGACTTCCTCCTCCATGCTAATTAAGGAAGAAGCTGCTTACCTGTTGTGTTTCAGTACCAGCTTTACCTTCCCATAGCTGACAGTACACAGCTACAAACAAATAAGAATAGTCATTAGGAACGTATAAAGGATTGTTTCTAGGTTTGGGATCAGATACTGCAACACATTTCCATTTTTTGTGGGAAAGGGCAACAGAGTCAAACATTTACTTACAGTGTTATTATGCTTAGGGGAAAAAAACTACTTTAACAACTATTTTCAGATTATGCATACATCATCTCACATAGGAGATCAACCACAGACATTCAGTTTTTATATTCAATTCCAGTCTCCTTCTAGGATGGCAAAAACACACTTGCAAGATAAGGAGGCTCTGTTTTATAGTGCACCAACTACTCCAGCTAACTTCCCACATTACTAACCTTCAGAGTAAATATGAGGAAGCTTACTCCACGTGCGTTTCCTCTGGCTTAAAGCATGCACACTAAGGCTTTGTTTTAGGACCTCCATTTCAAGCTATAAGCCACATATAGGCTACATTATGAAAATATTATTTGTGCAACCATGTATCTTATTTTTTGTCTTTATCCACAGTAAAGTCTCTGACCTCTTGAAACAGAGTAACAGGATAGAATATGACTGTGAAAGCAATGAGTCAGTAAAAACCAATGAAGCAGCAGCAGCAGCAGGAAGAGATTTCCGCAGTAGCAGCAGATAAATTTCCCATAATAGGCTTACCTTGATAAACTGAATTATTCCATCTGGGACACCAGTCTTGCTCAGTTTTTGTAAATACTCTGTGATGTCGCTTGTTTGTAAGCCAACACTAACAGCAGCATAAAGCGAGTAAGCAGTCAGCTTGTATTCATGGATGTGCGTTGGTCTGCACACTGGCTCAGCAATAGCAACCAAAAAATCCTGTGCGTATTTGTAAACTGGAGAAAAGGCTTCCAGAAAGATATGGCCATCAGGAGCCTACACAAGGAAGAAAAAACATGCTGAAAGCACACCAATGTTAGTTGAGAAAAACAAGGAGTGTCCTGTCAAACAGCTGTTATGACACAGAATGACTTCATTCTTTAGGTGATAACGTTATCACCACGTTTCAGAAAAAGTGACGACCCTAACAATGAAATTACAACAAGCAGAAATAATATAATTTTATAAACAAGACCTAAATTAAAGAAATGAAGAAACTAACACAATATACACTGTATATCACTGTAGCCGTTTCTCCCCATCAAGGTGTTGAGACTCTTTAAAAAAAAGAGAAAACTTTACACAGAACTACAAAAACTGACAAGACACAGAAGGAGATACAGGAATATGAAACTTTCATCTTCTGCGTTTGTCAGTAGCCTTTCTAGGATGCTAACAAAAAAACCACATCCAGATTGATTAAGCTTTCTAGACTAACATCTTAGCCTTTTTCTCATTCTTTGTTTTAACAATTAAAAAAAAAAATACATTTTCTTGCTCCAAACAGGAGCAAGCTTCCAAACTTCCCTTCCTCCCCGTCCCCCATTTTACCAGAAGGAAGAGAGGAGGAAAGGTGCCAACTGTGTTTCACAGCATTCAATAACAGACCCCCTGCAGAAGCTGGCAGCTCAGCTGCCTCTTCTAAATATGCTTTCGCTATTGGCCATGTTTTACATAGGTTTCTTGACTTCCCTTTTAACGCAGAGAAAACAAACGGTACCAGATAGGGGATATCAGACCACGTTGATTAGTGACGTTTCATTCCAACGTACAAACCAAGTTACTGCGTGAGGGAACAACGCATCCTACTTGTCTTATTAACTCCACCGGTTTCTGCCAGAGCCGGTTTCGCATTCCTCCCGGAAACAGCTAGCTAACGTACTCGTGCTCCCCCAACCCGTTAAGGTGACTGCACGCGTGCAGAAAGGAGCGCCCGGCGCGGCGGCCCC